TCCTTGACCAGACCACTAATGATGTACCAAGTCAGGGCACAGCATAAGCATCTGGTTTCCTTTTGTTTCAGGAAAACATGTGAGTTGCGTGCCGTATCATTAAGATTAGGAAACAAAGGTCCATGTAGAATTTAGTTACAACCACAAACTGGGGTGGCAGAGTCAATCAATTCAGTCGTTGCAAGGCGACCTACTTGCTACAAGTAACAAGTACAGAACAAGGAGGAGCACGCTCTATAATACTGTAGACGCAACCAGCTAAAGAAAACCATGCAGCCACTCCAGCTTTCACGCATGAGATACAACGAAAAACTACCGATAAGTTCCCTTGGCATTGCTCTTGTGATGCTCATGTCCTTGGCCGCTATCACTAGCTCCTGCACAGAGCAAGAGAAGGCCTCCCTCCTCAAGTTCCTCACTGGGCTCTCACAGGATGGTGGCCTTGCCGCGTCGTGGCGGAATGGCACAGATTGCTGCACGTGGGAAGGGATCACCTGCAGCATGGATGGGACGGTTACTGATGTCTCGCTGGCTTCCAAGGGTCTTCAGGGGTATATCTCACCTACTGTTGGCAGCCTCGCCGGATTGTTGCGACTGAATCTGTCAAACAACATGCTGTCCAGTGGACTACCACAAGAATTGGTGTCTTCCGGCAGCATCATCGCCATCGACATCAGCTTCAACCGCCTAGACGGAGAACTGCATGAGATGCCATCTTCAACCCCAGTGCGTCCCTTGAAGGTACTGAACATCTCCAGCAATTTGTTTGCAGGACAGTTTCCATCCTCCACATGGGGGGCCATGAAAGACCTGGTCGCACTCAACGCCAGCAACAACAGCTTTACTGGGCAACTACCAACTCATTTCTGCACCAGCTTTCCATCCTTGGTTGTGCTTGAGCTCTCTTACAACCGATTCAGAGGGAGCATTCCACCTGAATTAGGTAGCTGCTCCATGCTCAGAGTGCTCAAGGTTGGCCACAACAACCTCAGCGGGACTCTCCCAGACGAACTCTTTAATGCTACCTCTTTGGAGTTCCTCTCTTTTCCCAGGAGTGGTTTACAAGGAATACTTGAAGACACATATATTGCCAAACTCACTTTTTTGGTTACCCTTGATCTTGGAGAGAACAACTTCAGTGGCAAGATTCCAGAATTTATAGGCCATCTCAAGAGATTGGAGGAACTCTATTTGAACAGTAATATCATGTATGGGGAGCTGCCATCAACTCTAGCAAACTGCACAAATCTCATAACCATCAACCTCAACTGCAACAATTTCAGCGGACAACTCACCAAGGTCAATTTTTCTAGCCTACCCAATCTAATGTCTTTAGATCTTATGCGGAACAACTTCGATGGCACAATTCCAGAAAGTATATACTCTTGCAGAAAACTAATTGCACTGCGACTATCTTCCAATAAGTTCCACGGCCAGTTAGCAAAAGGGCTCGGCAATCTGAAGTCCCTGTCGTTCCTGTCACTTTATAATAATAATCTTACAAACATAACAGATGCACTTCAGATTCTTGGAAGCTCCAAGAACCTCAGCACCCTTCTTATTGGGCGTAACTTCAGGCATGAGACCATGCCAGAGGATGACACCATTGGCAGTTTTGAAAATATTCGGTTTCTTGGTATAAGTGATTGCCCATTATTCGGAAAAATACCTTTCTGGATATCAAAGATAGCAAATTTAGAGATACTAATATTGTCTAACAATCAGCTCACAGGATCGATACCAGCCTGGATCAAAGCTCTAAGCTATGTCTTCTACCTTGACATATCAAACAACAGCCTCACAGGGGAAATTCCAACAACATTGACCGATATGCCAATGCTAGAGTCAGCCAAGACAGATGCCAATTCGAACCAAAGGGTCTTCATACTGCCTGTTTATCCAACTCTATCACATCAATATCGCCAACCTTTTGCTTTCCCTAAATTGCTGGATCTAAGCAATAATAAGTTCACTGGTGAGATCCCTTCGACGATCGGTCAATTGAAATCCCTCCGTTCACTCAATTTGAGCTTCAACAACTTAACAGGTCAGATCCCAGAATCAACATGCAACCTCACAAGCCTGCAGGTCCTAGACTTGTCCAACAACAATCTCACAGGTGCGATCCCAGCTGCATTGGACAGCCTGCACTTCCTTGCAGCGTTTAACGTTTCTGACAATGATCTAGAAGGTCCTATTCCATCTGGAGGCCAGTTCAACACATTTGGGACTTCTAGCTTTGACGGGAATACAAAGCTCTGCGGATCTATGCTCATTCATAAATGTGGTTCGGCAGAAGCACCTCCTGTCAATGTTCTGACAACAAAACAAACTGATTACAAGGTGGCCTTTGTGATTGCCTTCAGCACGTTCTTTGGTGTAGGGGTGTTGTATGATCAGATAGTCTTATCTAGGTATTTTGGCTAGTACTACTACAGTTTACGTATCTGTTTACGTCAATTTCGTTCAGGTTAGGCTGCTATTCAGGTTTAGCAACATGTCCAGCAAATAAGCTTGTCATCTATGTGTAAGTCATAATTATGGCTGCAAAACATTATCGGATTAAGAGTGATGCCATCTCATGGAGATGTAGAAGTATATATGTAATAATGTGGGGCAGTTTAAACTGAATTGGTATTAATACAATGGATACTCTGACCTTTCCGGGGCTCTCTATAACTCTTTTCAGAACATAAAAACCACTGTAAGTTTAAAGTTCACCATTTCCTTTGCTTGCTGAACAACAACAATGGAGCCATGCTAAAGTTTTAGGTTTACGGGTAAGTAATGAACAAAATAAAATGTATGGTCAAGTACCAGTGCACCACTAACCATAAGTTGTCACTACGTATGAAGCAGCACATCCAAAAATTCCATCACAAAATCTTCTCAGAGTTTGTTAAAACGAGAGACTGCAGCTGCTACAACAATGGAGCACATACTGTAGGAGTGCATCCCTTGAGTTTTGAGTACACGCAAAACTAACTAGTAACTACGTGCCCCATTCTTTTCCCAGCAAGTTAATTGCACGACGTACCTTGGGAGCGCACGTCAACAACTTAACTACTCTGCTTCCCTAGCATCATTCTCTCGGCGCATGTAGTCCACTCTGAACTCCAAGCAACTGCTGCACCAGGGCTAGTCCTCTTTTTTCTCTCTTGGGACGGTCTACTTGACTAAAACTGGGAGGAAAGATTCTCAAAGAGAAAAGTATACTTTTCGTCCCTCAACTCTTGGTGAAGTCTAGATTTGGTCCCTCAACTTCAAAACCGGACAACTTGCACCCCCAACTATCGAAACCGGACAAGGTTCGTCCCTGGACTCGGTTTTGACCGGTTTTCGGTGTTGACTCACCCCGGTTTTGACCGGTGCTCACTCATATTCCTGTACTTCTTTTTATATCCGTGAACTTTTTGAAATTCACATACACTTTTCAACTCCGTGTAGTTTATTCAAGGTCGCGTATTTAAAAAAATAAACATACTTTTTTCCAAATCAGCGAACTATTCTGAAATTCGCGTACTTTTTTCAAATCCGTGATTTTTAACTTTTACGTACTTTAAAAAAATACGCATATTTGAAAAAGTACATGAACTTGGAAAAAAGTACGCAGATTTAAAAAAAGTACACAAATTTTTAAAAGGTTCACGTATTTGAAAAAAGTAACCAAATTTGAAAACAGTACGTGAACTTAAACTGTAGGCAAATTTGAGTCGGAACGGAAAACCGGGGTGGGACAACACCAAAACCGGTCAAACCGTGACCAGGGATGAATGTTGTCCAGTTTGAGAAGTTAAGGGTGCAAGTTGTCCGGTTTTGGAGTTGATGGACCAAATCTAGACTCCGACAAGAATTGAGGGACGAAAAGTATACTTTTCTCATTCTCAAATTAATGATAAGTGGGATCAATAGCAGGAAAAACACATCATGTATCTTTCGTTTGCATGGCAATGACTGCCGTTTTCTGAAAGCCCTATATAGTAAGAATAAATATCACAAAACCATAACTTTTGGGTTGGCATATCAAGTAAGAATAAATATCACAACTTCTGGGACAAGGTTGTTTTACAGTGCTCAAACAATGTTCCGACAGTTCCTAACAGTCAAATTGACCACTCCACACTGATCAATGACAGATAAAGAACTAGAAAGAAGGCCCACATGAAAACATAGCTAAGGGCACCAGTATTCAATCACAGGATCCAAGGTGGCATGAAATTGCAGTTTAGAATCACACATATCAAAGAGGACCTTAGCTGTGTTCATTGGTCCTCAAAAGGTTCTGTTGACACACTACATAACTATTGGCTACTTCCATGAATCGTTTCCCAAAATTAAGTGCATACGGCATGTAATTATGGATTAAAATTAATATAGCGAGACTGATTCTTGTTAAATTACATCTATAGAAAGAAAGAAATCTTGACTATAGGTAAGTGACAATGAGATGAGCTTGCTTCTTATTCGGTCTTGGAAAAAAAGAACAATAGATACCACTTGTTTATTATGCACAATTAGATAACATGGCATGTAAATCCAGTTTCCTGCCGATCCAGTTGCACCTAGTGGGTTCATTTTTTTTTAAAAAAAAAAGGGAAGTTGTTGTCAATAAGTTGTAAAAAACGTATCAGACCTGCTGAAGTCAAACCAAATACAACGAAGCTATATACATGATGTTACTCGAGTGTAAAAAGATTCATGCATTATTCAGCAACGACCCCTTCATGTAAAACTGGTAAGCGAAACGGACAGATTAAGTATTAACACGACAATTACTGCTTGGAAGTCAGACTTACCAACAAACTTAGATAAGCCAAGCAATAGCAGCTAATCCTTAACCCAAATTTTCTTTTTATAACTAACGACCAGATTCCGGATCAAACAAAATGGAGAGCAGAGCAGGTTGTTCCTTTCCTCTCTTGTTCTTTCTTCATCAGATAATTTAGCACTTCATCCTAGCAGACCAAACTTAGTTTCCTAGCTAGTTTCTCGAGAAAACCATGCAGCCTCTTTCTCGTTCACACAGGAACCAGTTTCCCATACCTTTCTTTGGTTTGCCCATTGTTCTACTAGTCTTCTTGGCTTCTCCCACCAGCTCTTGCACGGAGCAGGAGAAGAGCTCCCTTATCCAGCTCCTTGATGGGCTCTTGCAAGACGGCGGCCTCACGGTGTCATGGCGGAGCGACACAGACTGCTGCAGCTGGGAGGGGATTGTCTGCAGCCCTGATAGGAGGGTCACTGATGTTGTGTTGGCTTCTCACAGCCTTGAGGGGCCCATCTCGCCGTTCCTTGGCAACCTCATCGGCCTGTTACGTCTCAACCTGTCGCACAACTCACTGTCCGGTGGCTTGCCACTGGAATTGGTATCATCCAGCAGCATCATTGTCCTTGACGTCAGTTTCAACCGCTTGACAGGAGCTCTGCACGAACTACAATCTTCAGCCCCTGACCGACCTCTGCAGGTACTGAATATCTCGAGCAACTTACTTACAGGACCATTTCCATCCACAATATGGAAGACAATAGATAATCTGATAGCACTCAATGCCAGTAATAACAGCTTTACTGGGCCGATACCAAGTGATTTGTGCAATAGTTCACCATTCTTCGCTGTGCTTGACCTCTGTTTCAACAAATTCAGTGGCAGCATTCCCCCAGGGCTTGGTTATTGCTCCATGCTGAGAGTGCTCAGGGCTGGCTACAACAACCTCAGTGGAACACTGCCAGATGAGCTCTTTAATGCGACCTCGCTGGAATACCTCTCTTTTCCTAACAATGATTTACATGGTGTTCTTGATAGTGCTCGCATGATACGCCTCAGAAATCTACGAATCCTTGATCTTGGGTGGAATAACTTCAATGGCAGTATTCCAGATTCTGTAGGTCAGCTCAAGAGATTAGAGAAGTTCCAACTGGGCCACAACAACCTGTCAGGGGAACTACCGTCGACTCTGAGCAACTGCACAAATCTCAAAACAATTGACCTCAAGAGCAACAAATTTAGTGGAGGACTAAGCAAGGTCAATTTCTCCAACCTGCGCAATCTAAAAACTTTAGATCTTTGGTCAGACAACTTCACAGGTACAATTCCTGAAAGCATGTACTCATGCAGTAATCTGACTGCACTGCGGCTATCTAGCAACAACTTACATGGGCAGCTCTCTTCGAAAATAAGCAATCTGAAGTATCTCTCCTTCTTGTCACTTGGTAAAAATAATTTCACAAACATTACAAATGCCCTTCAGATCCTTAAGAGCAGCAAGAACATTAGCACCCTGCTTCTTGGGTACATCTTCAAAGGAGAGATAATGCCACAGGATGATAAAATTGATGGTTTCGAGAATCTTCAAGTTTTGGACACTGGAGAATGCAAATTGTCGGGAAAAATACCTCTATGGATATCAAGGCTCACAAAATTGGAGATGTTAGTTTTAAGAGGCAACCAACTAACTGGCCCAATACCAGGCTGGTTTAAGTCCCTAAGCCAACTCTTCTTTATGGATGTGTCAAGCAACCATCTTACAGGAGAAATCCCATTAACCTTGATGGAGATGCCAATGCTAAAATCAACTGATAACTCAAGCCATTTGGGCCCAAGGGTCTTCAAGCTGCCTGTTTATACTGGCCCACTACTTCAATACCTTGTGGTTACATCTTTCCCAGTAGTATTAAATCTAAGCAACAACAACTTCACAGGTGTGATTCCCCCACAGATTGGTCAGTTGAAAGTTCTTGTTGCACTTGATTTCAGCTTCAACAAGCTATCAGGACAGATCCCAAAATCAGTAAGAAATCTCACAAACCTGCAGATCCTAGACTTGTCCAACAACAATCTCACAGGTGCAATCCCAGCTGCATTGAACAATCTACACTTCCTTGCAGCGTTTAATGTTTCTGACAATGATCTAGAAGGTCCTATTCCGTCTGGAGGCCAGTTTAACACATTTGGGACTTCTAGCTTTGATGGGAATACAAAACTCTGCGGGTCTATGCTCATTCACAAATGTGGTTCCGCAGAAGCACCTACGGACACTATTCTGTCAACAAAACAAACTGATTACAAGGTGGCTTTCGCGATTGCCTTCAGTGCGTTCTTTGGTGTAGGGGTGTTGTATGATCAAATAGTCCTATCGAGGCATTTTGGCTAGTAGTACTCCAATTTACGTATCTGTTTATGTCAACTTTGATCAGGTTAGGTTGCTATCCAGGTTTAGCAACATGTCCAGTAAATAAGCTTCTGCTCTAGGTATGAGTCATAAACTCATAATTAGGTCTACAAGACATTCTAAGAGTAACAGTTATTCTATTTCTGGGAGATGTAAAAGTATGTAATGCTGTGGGACTGTTTAAACTGAAGCAATATTAATAAAATGAAAAGTCGAAATTCTCAACTCCGCTGTAACTCTTTTCGGAACAGAAAAATCAATGTAACCTCAATTCATCATTTCCTTTTGCTTGCTGAACATTGAGCAATGCGTAACACTGGAGTCATGCTAATTTTTTAGGTATACGACTAGTACTAGGGCACCGCAATCTGTGAAACCGTACGAAGCAGAGAACGTCCAATTTTGTGCATCCCAAGGTTTTGTGTGCCCACGACGCTAATCTGTAGCCCAAACTATACGGCGGTTTACAATCCGATTCTCATAAACTAAGAGTGATCCAACGACATCTGTAGCTACGCGCCACGCGCCCCATTCTCGATTCGGGCGATTCTTTTCCCAGCAAGTTAATTTGCACGACGACGTACCTTGGGAGCGCGCGTCGACGGCCCTGCTTCCCTTAGCCTCCGTCCGCGGGCGCGGGCAGCGCACTCTCCGCCGCCGCTGCGCCGGGGTCACGGGCTCACGGCGAGTTCAATCATCGTCCTCCCTGGGGGGAGCTGCGGGAGGTCACCGAATGCAACCCGAGCCGATCCCCTTCCTGGCCTCCGGCCACCGGACGAGGCGCCGCCCGCCGGCGTACCAGGTAACCGCGTGTGCAAAGTGCGCTCCGTCTGCATCGGGCCAGGTACTTCGCATTGGAGGCCAGGTGGGCCGGCTGCGGCGCGGCAGGGCTCAGCCTCCGTGTGGCTGTAGGCTGGCCCGAATCAGGCGTGTCGAGCTCTTCTTGTCCAGCGACTTTTTTCCGATTGGCTCCTGTTTTTGGTGGGTTTTTTCAATTAAACGCGGAAATCTAGAAAACAAATATGAACACTATTTAAGTTCAAAAAAAAATGAACACTATTTAGAATTATATAAATATTTAAGAAAACATGCATATTTTTTAATATACACGAATTTAAGTAAGTGTTTACGGATTTTATTTTTTTGTGAATCATAAAATTATTTACAAATTTTTTAAAATGTTTGCGAATTTAAAAAAATGCCCATGTATTTTTTAAACATGATTTTTATACAATCCTGAATTTAGAAAATAATGATTTCAAAAAAATGCTCACGAATTTTGAATGCGACTAGAATGTATTTTTTTTTCTCAACTCTTTCCAGGCACCAGCTTGATTGGACTTAGTGAGCTCTTGCCGTCGCATCTTGTCTCTCAGTATACGTCCTTAAATCTGTGACCCCTATCTCATCACTTCTGATTGATTAGGGAGGGGGTGAACATGACACTATGCGTCGGATTTCTGTACGACAGTGCAATCAACCTGTCCATGTGTGTCATCAAACTGCTGCACACCACTGGATTGGTCGCTCACATTGATCATAACACCAAGTACCTATGCGTAGTAGTTCCGGTTGGATAGTAGAGTTGAAAATGTTGACGGTGAATACCCCGAAACGTTCTTGTCAGCTCAGTGTATCTTTCATAGATATGTGTGCCAGCCACTTGACGTTACTCTCAAATCCGAACAGAAATATTATTAGCCAAGAACGTAGCACTGATATAATTTTCCCTTGGAACCAAACCACTCCACACTGATCAGATTGCCAACAGAACCATATCCCAAAAGGAATACAATTCTTTTAAACACGGTTAAAATTGCAGCACTGTTGTTTCATTTCAATGAAACCAAACAGACTGTGAAAACCAGTTTACTCAAACATATCAGCAATATAACAAAGAACAGGGCACCAGGCTCATTAAGTTGTTAAATTGCTATTTTTTTTCTCTGAATGTTCATTGGACATTAAACACCAGATGCTGAGGAGGTCGAATGTGAGCAATTTAATCTGATCAGTGAATGCCAACCAGTTCCGAGCTTTCTCTAAATCAGAACATACGTAGTATTACCCACATGCAAAGCGATGCTATCTGTTTTCTGTTTTTAGTGTGAACCACTCTACCTGGGGCTAAATGCAAACGCCAGTATGATGGCCAATGATGGACACTCCAACAACAGGAAATGAAATGAAGTGCAGCAGCTACACATACTGAAGAGCATCGACCGACAAAAAAAAGAAGGAAAGCAGTCGTTTGCTCTCAGACAGCTTTCAACCAATTCAGTCCAAGGCGAAGGTCACACAGAACACAGACGAAGCCAAGGGGAATTTCTTCGATAGATCAGGAAAATCCCATTTGTTCATCCGTAGCGTAGCAGCAAGTCTGTTAAAAGGAGGACGTCGATTGGCCTCTCTGATTCTAAGGATTTTCAAAGAAACTTGGCGGATTTAAACCCCTAGGAATTTTTCATGCGCAGATTTTTTGATTCTACGGATTGTAAATGCAAATTTCAGTTTCCTAAAAATTATGTTGCACTATATCTTGTAGAGAAATGTCCACTTACTCCAACATTTTGAGAAGATTGCTATAGTTTTCCTATGGTGCAAGGAAAAAAAAAACCTTTTTGTGGAAAAAAATTGCGCTGTTCAATCCTAGGATTCGATTCTATTTAGAATCACATAAATCATGCAGTACACAATTTTTGGCTACCAGTTGCAGTTTTGACATGTGTATTACAAGAGTTGTTTCACATTGTTCTGTGATGTGGATACCTTAATTATTTATTATAACTAATAAAATGGCATCGATGCGTGCTAACTCTTAGAAAAAGGATGCAACCTTTATTATGAACTACAATGAAATAAGGCTGCTTCTCATTCAATCTTTGAAAAAAAGGCACCACTTGTTTATTATACACAATTAGATTAGATGGCGGAGAAATTTAACCTCCTGCAGATTCAGTTGCAACAACTAGGTGCTATTGTTTTGTTTAAGAAAAAAGATGTAGCTCTCAGTAAATAAGTTATAAAAAGTTCAGGCAAGAACAAGTCAAACACAATTAACCCCAACAATATACCTGATGTTGATGTTGTGGCTAGGTGTGCATAGCTTCAGCATTGACTTTGTACGTGTTAAAAGATAATTGGCAACAACATGACACTGACTAGATGAAGTTAGAAAGCTAGGACAAGACTTCTGGGGAAATCATGCGATCAGGCTAGCTTGCATGGCATGGACCCTGCCAAGGCAAGTGATGGGATGCCGAGAAGAACAACTAGGTTTGAGCAGCATAAACACGCTACGCAAGGCCATATGGCGATAGTTACAACACATTATTCGATCAACCAACTGCACTGGTCACTTATAGGAGTAGATCATAGTTACAAGAAACTATCTGCAATGACCACTTACTGCTGATAGCTGTTTCTAATTGTAATTACACCTATTCCAGACATGATAATCTAAATTGTAAAAAATGCATACAATGTTCAATAAGAACCCCTTCATGTACCTCCACATGCTCTTCTCCAAATCAAGTACGTGTATCGACCGTGACATCGATGATGGAATGTAAATGTAAAACTGGTAGTAGAAGAGGTCAGATTAAAGATTGACACACCAATTTGTGCTTGGAAGTCAAGCTCGTGAATAAATTACAGTGGATGTGCAACACGCCAATACCAGCTAATTCTTGACCCAAATTGACTCTGACATCAATGATGGAATGTAATTGTAAAACTGGTAGTAGAAGACGTCAGGTTTAAGTATTAACACCCCAATTTGTGCTTGGAAGTCAGGCCTATGAATAAATTACAGTGGATATGCAATTCGCCAATACCAGCTAATCCTTGACCGGTACCTTATTTTCATCAGTAACGACCAGGATGGATCAAACAAAATGGAGACCAGAGCAGGTTCTTCCTTTCCTCGGTTACTCTATCTTCATCAAAAACTAGTACTTCATCATGGCAGACCAAAGCTTAAGCCTCTAGTTTCCAAGCTAACTTCTCGCGAAAACTATGCAGCTACTCAGTCACTTATGCAGGAACCGATTGCCAATACCATTCTTTGGTTTGGCTGTTGTGCTACTAGTCTCCTTGGCTTCTCCCACCAGCTCCTGCACGGAGCAGGAGAAGAGCTCCCTTATCCAGCTCCTTGATGGGTTCTCACAAGACGGCGGCCTCACGGTGTCATGGCGGAGCGACACAGACTGTTGCAGCTGGGAGGGGATTGCCTGCAGCACCGATAAGACGGTCACTGATGTTTCACTGGCTTCTCACGGTCTTGAGGGGGTCATCTCGCCATTCCTTGGCAACCTCACCGGCCTGTTACATCTCAACCTGTCGCACAACTCACTGTCCGGTGGCTTGCCACTAGAATTGGTGTCATCCAGCAGCATCATTGTCCTTGACATCAGTTTCAACCGTTTGAGAGGAGCTCTGCACGAACTACCATCTTCAGCCCCTGACCGACCTCTGCAGGTACTGAATATCTCGAGCAACTTACTTACAGGACCATTTCCATCCATAATATGGAAGAAAATGGATAATCTGATAGCACTCAACGCCAGCAATAACAGCTTTACTGGGCGGATACCAAGTGATTTGTGCAATACCTCACCATCCTTCGCTGTGCTTGACCTCTGTTTCAACAAACTGAGTGGCAGCGTGCCCCCAGGTCTTGGTAATTGCTCCATGCTGAGAGTGCTCAGGGCCGGCTACAACAACCTCAGTGGAACACTCCCAGATGAGCTCTTTAATGCGACCTCGCTGGAATGCCTCTCTTTTCCTAACAATGATTTACATGGTGTTCTTGATAGTGATCGCATAATAAGCCTCAGAAATCTACAAATCCTTGATCTTGGGTGGAATAACTTCAATGGCAGGATTCCAGATTCTATAGGTGACCTCAAGAGATTGGAGGAGTTCCATTTGCAGTACAACAACCTGTCAGGGGAGCTGCCATCAACACTGAGCAAGTGTAA